TTTATAGATCAAACTTTGATAAAACGTAATGTTGGTATGTGGTTGGTATTAAACCGTCAATAGTAAAATTAATTATTCGTGTTTTCCTAGATAAGAACTAAAATTTATGAGCATTATCTCCTAAATCATTGCCAATTTTTTTTTTTGGTTGGCTCGAACACAAATTGAAAGACAGTGTTTATAGATACATTTGACTCGATAGATAGAAAAATTGGTGACGTACGTCTTGTGAAAGGCAATTATTGTAGAAAAATTGAATTGCCTTTAAAATGAGAAGATTTTTAATACTGTAAAAGGATTTCTTTTTTAAAATAATAGCAGGTTCGATGAAATGAAAAAAAAAACGCTTGTATATCCGTTTCTTTGCTGCCAAGTGTAGTAATAAGAGATTAATTTTTGAATCATACTATATAAAATGTACCTAGTAGGTACACCGTACAATCTATTTCATTGTCATCCCGAAGTAAAATGGTTCTATCTTGGCAATACAATAGTTTTACAAAAATATCTCAATATCGATTTAGATTAGTCTCTAAGGATATGTATTGCTGGGAATAAAAAAAATAAAATAAAAAATAAAATGTAAAAAACTGGTGAACCATTGCAAAAAGCAAACTATCAAATCATCACACCATGTAATTCCCGAAGAGGTATTTCTCATCGGGTGGCTCGTGCGATGCAAATAGTGCGTACAAATTTACGTCTAGTGTTTCATGTGCATATTTCCATGAAAATTTCTTTTAAATTTAAAAATGGCATCTTTATTTTTTAGTTTATACTTTATACATCAAAAGTACTCCTTATGGCAATATGGGACGAAAACGATATAGGTTTTACGGTGTATACATATATCCAGGGTTACAGAACCCTTGGAAAAAGAACAAACAATATAATTATAAGTATTAATTTTGAATTAAAGCAGAAATATTATCCATTGTTGAATATTGTAATGAACCATTATAAGCTACCTATATTTTTTTATATTAATACCTTTTTATGAATAATATAGAGGCCGTCAAAAATATTACATTATTTTAAAAATACCTATTATAAAAGGACAAATTGCTATCAGGTATGAAAATATTTTACAAAATTCGTATTACCAAAAATGTTTAATATTAGCCAAAATTTTTCGGGATATGCTTTCGACTTTCAAAAATTGTATTACAATATTTTATTTAGCACCATAAATACTAAATAGTATCAAAATCATTTTTATATGAAAATTAAAATATTAATGGTATTCTTATTAAATGCAAATTATAAACTATTAGGAGTCATGCTTTTATGTCATGTTAATTAAATAATAATTAAATCTAATTTATCACACTTTATACTAATAATAAAATAATAATTATAATTAAATATCTATTTACAAATCTCTACAGCTAATAATCTTATTCCTACATTTTGCTATTAGTTGCTACAGAATATTTTTGGCAATTTATAACATAATGTTATACGAAATTAATCTAGCAGACGTTACTATAGCGATTTAATTATTATTGTAAGCAATAAAACACTTCATAATCCCACACACTAAACCACAAACTGACAAATGTTGCTAATTTATTATGTAAGGCGCAACTTTATTTGAACAGTATACCTGTCTATGGAGAAATTATAAGAACATTAAATGTCATTCTAATTAAATAAATATATTTACATATTTATTAATAAAATATATTCTGTATTTTTATAAAAAGAACTGACTATACCCGCAAGTTTTTCTGCGTTTTTCTAAAATAAAAGTAGCCTATATGACCAATAAAAGTCCCGTCAAAATTGATCCAGCCATTTCAGAGATTAGCCAGTACAAACAACAGACAAACAGACAGACAAAAATTGTTTATTTTGGTATATGTATCGTATGTTTATTCATAATTATGCACGTAGTAAAAAGCGGTTATTTCAGTATTACAACAGATACTCCAATTTTATGTATATAGATAATTATGGGAGTGTACATATACAGTTTGACAAACTTATATTTTACATTTGAGTATGAGTATCGATTTTAGGCCTACTAAGACTAAAATGTACTATTTTAACTGATTTTATCCATAAAATATTATCTAATATGTACTGCAAGAGTAACTGATGTTAGTTATTGTACTTAAAGGACCGATTTTCCAATGCTGAGATAAATGTTAACTGAGGAATAACTATGAATATTTGACAATTCTTCCATACTAAAAGCTGTCAAATGTCAATTTTATTCTACAGTTAAGAATTAACTGTGCCTTTAGACAAACGCCAGAGGCTGTAGCCAAATGCCACTTAGCGCTTGTCTTCATGTAGAATAGAAAACCAAATTATATGGGATTGGCGTAAATTTTGACACTTGTCAGTGTCATCCCCATACATTTTGATTTCTACTCTCTGTAGACAAGCGATAAAGTGACGTTTTGCTACAGCTGCAGACTATTAAAAAAATCGCCCTTAAAAAATAAATTATCTACATAAACAGTTACATTGCTGCTATCTCACCTGTTCAACCCTAATTACAATCTGGTTTTCGTCCGGGTCACAGCACTACCACGGCTCTCGTAAACATTACCGATGACATTAGGTCGAGCATGGAGATGGGGAAGTTGACGGTACTTGTCCTGCTCGATTTTAGTAACGCATTTAATACCGTTGACTTCGACATTTTGCTTGCCGTACTCAGCTCTCTTAACGTATCCCCATCGGTAATTGACTGGTTTCGCAGCTACCTATTTGGTCGCCGGCAGCGTATTCATTGTGAGGATCGTTATTCTTCATGGTGTTGTACTGCTTCCGGTGTGCCGCAGGGTGGTGTTCTATCCCCTTTACTCTTTGCGCTATTTATCAACTCTATCTCTAATGAACTCTCTTCTTCCTTCCACCTTTATGCCGATGATCTACAGATCTACACAAATGCTTCACTGCATGAGTTACCTGATGCTATTGCGCTGATCAACCGTGATATGGCACGAATTAGTGACTGGAGCATGAAGTTCGGGCTACATATTAATCCATCAAAAACACAAGTGATGGTTGTCGGCAGCTCAAGGACTGTCTCTAAAATAGACTGGTCTACTCTTCCCCAAGTATGTCTACTTAAAACAAAGATTCCTTTTTCCTGTGAAGTCAAGAACTTGGGGATTTACATTGATAGTACTCTGTCCTGGTCTAAACAGGTGCAGGAGGTCAGCCGCAGGGTGTTTGCCTCGGCGGGCGCCCTGAGGCGTTTACGGAATTTCTTACCCACTGCTACTAAAATTGCATTAGCACAATCCCTACTTCTACCAATTCTCGACTATGCTGATGCCAGCTATCTTGATCTCACCCAAGAACAATTAGACAAGCTTGAGCGACTTCAAAATCTTTCCATTAGGTTCATATTTGGATTGCGCAAGTATGACCACGTCTCTGAGTTCCGCAACAAGCTCAAATGGCTGCCTATTCGCCTTCGCCGGAATACTCATATTCTTTCACTTCTTTACAATATACTTTTTAATCCCACTACCCCTACCTATCTAAAAGAACGTTTTACGTACCTTGGCGATACACATTCGAAGTTTTTGAGATCATCGGAGAGTCTGAAATTGAGTATTTGTTTGCATTCCACTTCCTTTTTAGACAAGTCCTTTACAGTGCAAGCAGCTCGGTTGTGGAATGCTTTACCGATTGCAGCGAGGCGAGCTCAATCCATATCGCAATTTAAAAAACTTGTTAAAGAGCATTTCCTCTCTTTATAATTTTATATCCTATCTTAACCACACACACACATACACACACATACACACACATACACACACATGCACAAATACACACCATTATGTAATTTATGTATCTTATTGTATATTGTATATTGTATAGGTATTATTTTATTTTTATTTATTTTATTTATTTTTTTTGAGTTGTAGTTGTATTTTTGTATTCTGTGTATAGTACTTTATAAAGTTATTAATTATTGTACACTTGACGACCCATATCAGACTCCTATTACTGCTCCATCCAAAGGTTGTCTGTAAGAAATCGCCTTGTGCGATAAGACCGCCCATTGTACACTATTTTTGTTAATATTTATCCTATAATGTGATTGTGTGGTGTACAATAAAGCATATTATTATTATTATTATTACAAAATAATAATTTCAATTTTCTGCAAAAGTCGAATACTTAATACATATTTGTATCTTTCGCCTCATTTTCCTTTTTATTATTCGATCAGATTATGTCGCTTCATTTCATTTTCATATTCTAATTTCATCGTTTATATTAAAACTTTCGTGTGACATTCTAAATTAATTATTATATTTTCAGCTTACTCACGTAACAAACTCGAGTATCCAATAACAGCGACAGTCGCCACGTCGCGGAATGCTGCTCATGAATATGAGCCTCTAGCATGGCTTGAAACTAGTCGAGTTTCTCGTCAAAAAGTTACGTGAGTAAGTCGTAAATGTAATAATTATTTTTTAATTTCATTGACAAATACTTCATTAATATTATTTTATTTCAATCAGACGAAATCACTATCTATCGATGTTCCTTTATCTCAATACACTCTAGACCCTGATACTCTTCATCCTTAATAGGGTAGATGACTAATTTTTATTTTAATGTCCGTCCGGTAGATCATTTTAAAATATTACAAACGTATTTTTTATTTTTTTACAGAAACGAATACTTTCGACGATATATTGATTTGAAATGTCGCGTGACGTCACTTCTATGTAAATTTTTATACGTAGAAATGACGTTTTAGCCCCCACTCCTAAACTTTGATTTGTTATATCTAAGTACAATTTTATTATACTTACAACAAAATAAAAAAATACGTGTCTAATATTTTTTCATTAACTGACGGACTAATTAGATTTTTAATTTTGATACCCTGCCATCATCCCTATTCCTGCTTCAAACTAGCCATCCTTTTTCGACCATAATTATCCCCAAAAACATTCCTTGGTTTTCAAATATCCATCAGGTCTTTGAGGTCGAAGGTCATAATGACCTTGCTTATGTGCTTATTGTCCTCCCCCGACGTTGGGTGTCTTCACGAAGTATGTTGTTAGAGTGCCCTTGCCCTTCACGTAAGTTGGACCTCGACATTCACAGGTATAGCCTGCATTCATTAGTACCCTGGAAAGTAAAAAAATAATACATTACCTAATCCATATTTTTAAATAGTAGTTGTAAAGTAAATGCGTCTTGCGTCGAAAATTTTAATGCCTTTGACAAAAGTATAAAGAAACAAAGTCAAAAAAATGTCAATGTCAAAATATTTACCTATAGATTAATGACACTATAATATTTACTTATACTAGCGATTTTGTCTAATTTTTCCATGTTGCTAACAATTAAATTATTGACTACTGTAAACCATTAATAATAAATTATAATCAAGCAATCGCCCCTCGTCAATCGTCGAAATTGGTAGCAATATTACTAGTCTAATTCATTGGACGGTAGTTGCCTACTGAACCTATTCAAGTTTCGTTTGAGTTCTGGGGCTTAGAAAAATAGTAGCAGGGTTAGGGTCTGCCCATCACTACATATAGTATAAAACCAAGTCGCCATCTGCCGTCTGTCTGTCCCTATGTATGTGTCGTAGGATAATTTGATACTTCGAATCTTCGCGGAAATCCTAGGGGTTTTGCGAAAACGCGGATAATTAGACATAGGCGAAAAATTATCAAATCTTACTGGACAAAGTCAGGATTTTTGCGAAAATACTCGTTACTATAGTAAGATTTGATGTGCTCAACACTGATTGGCTACAATTTTGCTGGCTGACTTCTAATTGGTTCCTAGTTTGCCGATGATTAACTTCAAGTATTGTATCATACAGATATGAAGGTTTAGAATAGGTGAGAAGGGAAAATCACTAAATTGATTTTTATAAACTTTTTATTGAAAATTTTAGTATGTATGTTGTTTTCTACAGACAATAGGAGATCTCAGTCGTAGTGAAAAAAATTATCCAATTTTAGGTTGTAATCCATAAATTGGATGAAACTGGTCGTTTAAGACGACGAAAAATCATTTAAGACGTCAACCAATCAGAGACGATCTCTTATTGATCACGCTGACCGACCAATCAGCGTTCTTATTTCATAACAGCCAGCGTTTCGTTTCGCAATCTTACTATAGTAATGAGTATTTTCGCAAAAATCCTGACTTTGTCCAGTAAGATTTGATAATTTTTCGGCTATGTCTAATTATCCGCGTTTTCGCAAAACCCCTAGGATTTCCGCGAAGATTCGAAGTATCAAATTATCCTACGACATATGCATAGATCTTTGAAACTACGCAACGGATTTTGATGGTAGGTATTTGTATAATACATGCATATTACACCCGTGCAAAGCCGGGGCGGGTCGCTAGTTAAACATAAAAAATAAACGAACTTATCACGAATAGCATGAATTGACTGCACGGTTGGTGCGGTGGCTGGGCAACCGGCTGCCGTGCAACGTGTCACGGGTTCGATTCCCGCACGGAACAACGCTTTGTGTGATCCACAAATTGTTGTTTCGGGTCTGGGTGTCATTGTGTATTTGAACTTGTATGTTTGTAAACGTACCCACGACACAGGAGAAAATCCTAGTGTGGGGCAACGTTTTTAAAAAAAAAAAAAAAATAAATAATTACAATAATACCAAGCTCAGCTACAATAACACCAATACACTCGATCTTACTACAGACGTAATTCCTCATAATTCCTCATAACGTCAGACGTCCAAAAATTGAAATCCAGTTTAAAATAATACAAATAACTTCGGTGATACTAACTTAGCAGTATCCTCAGTGACCTGTATCCTGCCCATGATCCCAGTGGAGTCCATCCTGGACGCCACGTTGACAGTGTTGCCCCATATATCGTACTGAGGCTTCTGAGCCCCCACCACGCCCGCTATCACTGGGCCGTGATTCAGACCTGAAATATCAAAATCAAGACATATACCTATGATGATAGACTTCTACCATCACTATCTTCAGTATTAGCCCCCGTTTCCTTCTTATCGTGGACATAGGACTCACAATTGCACGTCTTGCATTAAATTCACGAAATCTTAACATAGGTAGGTAGGTACCTAACCGCAAAGTACATTCAAAAAGTTCACTTGAATTCATTAAAGATACACCTTTTTGTGTTCATGACTTAAAAGGCAAACATAATATAAATACTATAATTATATAAATTAGATAATAAATACTATACTTAATTTATATTATGTTTACAAAAAAAATAATATTTTAAACCCGTTATTGTTGTCAACGCCATCTATACACTGACAGCGTATTTACTAAATTAAGCTTTGGACAAGGTTCTGTACCGAAGGCTTTAGATATAAAATGTAACTCGCTCAAGAGCCATCTGTCGTTTTTAAGGCGAACTTAATGGAATTTAAGGAAGGCTCTTGAGTAGGTAGTTGGGAATTGAAGCGTTATGTGGAGCCTGTGTTTAGTTATATAAAATAGGAGTTAAGCCTTTGCTACACATTAAACACAATTTCTAATTATGAGAAGGTTATTAAATCTTTGAAAACAAAAATATTTATAATATTATTATGTATTCGGCTTACTCATGTAACCATGTAACTGTTTAACGAGGAACTCGATTAGTTTCAAGCCATGGTAGAGGCTCATACATATTTATGATTCTAGCATGGCTTGAAACTAGTCGAGTTGCTCGTCAAACAGTTATATGTATAATATTATTATGAAAGTATGCTTACCTATCCTAAGTTTGAATCTCTGGAAGGATTCCCTGTTGATCTGGTCGAGTATCGTCATCAAAGCTATCGCGAACTCCACCAGTATAGCTACCGTATGCTCTTCTTTGCTCGTCACATCCTGGAAATTCATAAAATTAGGACGTTAAAGAACTGAACGTCATTATTGTTTTTCAACGTTGTTATTGTTTTTTTTTTGGTCCTTGGAGACATTTTTTTCTTCTGGTACACATAAGTATGAGTAATTAGCTAAAGTTACTCGTTTAAGTATTTTTAATTAACTTCCTTGTTGGCCGAGTGGCCGCCCGTGCGACTGCCGTACAAAGTGGTCTCGGGTTCAATTCCCGGGTCGGGCAAAGTATTACTGGGTTTTAAAAATTTACCAGTCGTAGCACGGAGTTTGAAATGTGCCCGGTATATGGCATTAGGCTCACCCTATTAAATGGGACTTATAACATAAAATATAGTGAAAAGTGGATGTTACATTGTACAGTGGCATTAAGTGCCGTAATGTGAATTTGTACTCCTTCGGGGATAAAATACTTGATTTGTATATATTTTTAATTCAATAGTATTCAAAAAGGGGATATACCTGACTTGTTACTCATTATCGTGGTAGAGTAAAAAAAATATACATATAATGTTCCAATGATAAATTTAATACTTACATTTTGTTCCTCCTTGCCTGGCCTCAAACCAGAAGCAATCATGTATGTGCTTCCTATAGTTTTTATTTTCTCTATACAGCTAAATTTAGGTTTCAGTAATAGCTGAAAACACACACAAGTATTAATTAAATCATTCTAAACGGAAATAGTACCAACAAGAGTCTATCCTGAGACGTAATATAAAATTGTCGTAGGTACTATTTATTGTAGGTCAACATTTTGTGGATCAAATTTGTTAATAGCGATCAACATGCTGTTCATCACTCTTATAATTCAAATGAAATCAAATAATAATGAAAAGTCTATTACACTTATTAGTGCAAATCCGCGGAACTAGCTTTGGATAATTCTGTGTACAAATGTAGCTAATGCAAGTTTTCAGCAGAAAAATCCCGCAACATCCTAATAATCTAAATTTAAACTCAAGTCAAGGCTGCCACAACCTTCATTTCGACTCATTTTTAATATGTTAAATTAAGTTCCAAATTCATTGAATTGATAAAGCTTTAACCCTCCCCTGTAAAACTGGATCTATAACAAATACGCCGCCTTTACGTATGGTAGATTCGCGGACTTGCACTATGCACGACGATAAGTAAATAAAATGTATCTAACCTTATCAAAATCGCATATAATCTCATTGAGCAACCTCAAGCACTCCAGCCCTTGTTTGTTGACGTCATTCTCATCATAGAACTCTTTATAATTCGGTATAGACGCAAACATCACAGCGATCGTCGAATATCTCTCATGGTATAACTCTGCCTGAAAAATGTGGGTTATAATGGTTTAAATTTTCGCTTGAAAATGAGGATTTTATTATAATTGTTCTCACATAATCGAACCAATAAAACTATGTAACTAGAGAATTGTATTGTAAACCTGATTGAAAAAGAGTAACCTATGGAGTTTCTTGCTCGTTCTTCTCCATAGGAATCTACGCCTTGGAATAAGTAACTAGCTTCACTTATAAATTTTTGTTGTTTGACGTTCAAAAGTGCCACCCTGGTCTAATTGAAATAAATGATTTTGACTTAGACTTTGAAAAAATTATGGTTGTTTTACTGACCTCTGATGCTACGAATGTGAGGAAATGCTCAGCCACGTGAGCTGGGAGTATGTTTTCTAGAAGAATCTAGAACAGGAGACAATACTTATAGTTTAATAACAAACAAAAAAATATATTTTATATCAAATTAAACTCAATCTTTAATACTCAAACATAATCACTCAACTTTAAGATACTTTCAAAAATCTCTCTGTCACTACAAACACGTCATTAAATGACAACAATGTCGCTACATTTAAGTACAACTCAAAATTGACTAACATGTCGACACTTGGTATCGATAATACCTTTCCACATGTATAATATGTCAATGAATTTTAAACCTCATTCCACACACATTAGAATGCAATATCACTTACCTTGTTTATCCCCCTCATAGTTTCCACCTCTTCCTGCTCGAACTTCAGTTTGTCCTTCCATAGGAAGTCAGTCCTCGATGTGAACTCTATCTGTCTGTCCAGGATGTGCAGGAGAGCTGCCAGGAACACCAGGACCATACCGGCCTTAGTGGCGTATGCTAGCATTGTAAACCTGGAATGGTGGAAATGGAATATGAGGAAAAATAAGGTAAGTTATGACATATTATCACCTAAAACTTGTTCGTATAAATCACTACGGGGGCTAAATTTTAGTGTAGTCTACTTTGAAGTTTTAATTCTCAGTATGGTTTATAAGAAATATTAGCATATTTATCGACGTACCCATGACAGAAGACAAATCTTAGAGTGAAGTAGATTAACGCTCAAACCTTCTCCGTGTGAGAAGAGGCTTCGCTCATCAGTGACTTATAGGCGCTTATAGTGGGCACTTATAGGTTTGTGTAAATTGAAAAGAAAGGAAATATTAAGTAGGTCTAAACAAAATTACTTACTCATTCTCCAAATCTTTCTTCTGGTACTCATAAAACAGTTCAGCGGACGCAAACAACGTGATGTGTGTGACCAGTGTCAGTAACATTAATGCAAGTTTCAGCACGAAGCCTACTCGAAGGAACACTGATATCGAAGCCAGGGTTAGAACTGAACTGTATAGGTAGCTCTGGAAGTCAGAGAATTAAAATGTTAAGGAATGCCGATAGACAACCTGGTGGGACAAGTTTGGCAAGTGCGAATGTTGAGGCTGGCTAATTACTCAATCTCCCCAATCCCTGAATCCCCAACAATACTCAAAATCCTAATCTCCAAAAGGCTGGTAATGCACTTGTAATGCCTCTGATGTGCCGGGTTCTGATTGCTTACCATCAGGTAATCCGTCTGCTTGTTTACCGACATATACCATAAAAAAGTTCTAAGTAAAGTCCGGTAGCCCTGTAAAATAAATATGTAGGTACATGGGACATATTGCATTTTTATTTGATAGGGGTAACCGAGCGGACTAGACTAATAATGATAACACAACAACTTTAAAAAGATACTAAAGTCTATTCTTGAAGATGTATGTATCTTCAAGAAGAGACTTTATTTAAAGTTTATACATAACGTCATGCCTCTCTCCCATTGGGGTAGGCAGAGACGCCAATTACTACGATTCCTACATACCTCTTTCGATTGGGTACTTTTAATTTAGCCCTTCTTTAATATATCGCCAATCTGGTCACTATATGTCCTATATGTTCTTCAAGATTGTATATTAATCACTATCATATTGCATTGGACCTTTTGTGTCGATAGCCATTTACTTTATACAGACTTATAATTAAATACTTTTCAGAATATTCAACTTACAGGTGCCGAATCGACATCGTTGTAGATATTATGCATCCCGCTCATAGACACGTCGTCAGTGAAGTTATTATACTCGGTGAGGTTGGACGCGTTACTGCGGAGGTACATTGGGTAGTCTACTATCACGAACGACTGGAACTGAAGAGTTAGGCGATTGTATTGTTGTTTTTTATTAAAGGAGGTTATTTAAATGGATGATGGATGGATGCTTAAATGAATGGCTAATAGCTAAAAGGTATGTTATAAAACAAATTTTATTCGGTACGTACAGTTTTTAATTGCACTGAAGAATGAACTATTTAGATTTAAAAAAATGGGTAGGTATCTCATGGATATGAATTAATAAAGTGAGGATAGGTCTAGGTAAATGTCTTACCAAATTAATAACTGCACATGCGCCGATGAGAAGAACTGATACAACGAACATCGTTAGCCTTATAAATCTGTTATTGGCGACCACCTGAAATAAAAAAGAACATTAAAAAATATTTATTGATCAACTTATAGAAATTCAGTGTAATTTTTTCAAAGCATTTGTTCTTGCCTTTCTCGTCACCATCGTATGATAATATACTGGGCGGTGCTACTACTAGGGAATTAAAAAAAAGCCAGTAATATTTTACCCGACCCAGGAATCGAACCCAAGACCCCTTGCCTGGCAATCGCACTTGCGATCACTAAACCAACGAGGCAGTCAAATCTACTAGATCTTCCTTATAAATAAAAAAGAGTTAAACATCACAATTAGATGATCGAAACTGTACGGGACCTATCTCGCAATATGTCTCAACAATAGATACAATAAATAAAAGAAATTTAAGAAACTCACCTGTCCAGGCTTAGTACAGTTATCAGCATACAAATCATCCGGAACATCAGATATCGGGCGCAACCCGCGCGTCAACATACTGCCGTCATACCACGACAGGTACACGAACACCAGCAACGTGAACAAGGTTGGACCAAACGATGCGTATAGGACTACACCTCTGTGATAATAATAAAATAGGTACGATTATTAAAATGTTTTCAGTACACAACAACGGCTGCATTGTTCATAAGGTATTAATTCTTTTGCATTATTCTAGTAAACACTAAATTCTAGTAAACATGAAATAAACATTTCATGTTGCAATGAAAGTTCTTTTCTATGTACGTCTTTGATTACTACGTCGCTCGGTGGACGCGGTGATGCGGTCTACGATGAAGCACGTCGAGCCATAAGCAATCTATTCACTCAGGCCTTGAAGACGCCCAGGTTATACCCTGTTACCATAAATGAAGTAATGTAACGCGGCAATTTGATTTTGGTTTGTGTCGGACGCACGCGCGTAACTCTAGTGGCAACACGTCACCTCAGTATTCCTCTTCCCCCGCTTCCCCGCCACTGACCACTCGACGCTTCACGTCACGCACCAGAACGACGAGTCCCGCGAAATATTGGAGTTTTGTTTATTATGCAACTTTTTTTATGTTTACTTTAAAGTTTAATCCAATATACATATACAATTTTACAGTCATTCGTGTGTCGAACTTTATTTTACGCCCCTGAGAACCCACTGAGACATATCAAGCTATTAAAGTAATTTAATTTATTACGTCCGTTTTGAGATACAATGAATAGTCATTGATCAACATTATAGTTCTTCAATAAAACTAATTCACTTATGTCTACTTAATATAATAGACCACTTACTTAGGCACCGTCAATAGTTGTATGAACGCTAGCACAGCGAATAAGGCAGCTGCGCAGGCGACGTTGTACTTAAACTGCGCGTCTGATTGGTTGCGGTACTGACGCTCTTGGGTACTGCTCTTGAACCATAATGTGACACGGTTCATGCCTTCCGAATTAGTACTGGAATCAATAAACAAATAATTCATTTATTTGTGTAGAGTGCAAGCGCAAATGCGACTGCCGGGCAAGAGATCTCGGGTTCGATTCCCGGGTGGGCCAAAGTACTACTGGATTTTTAAAAATTCTCAGTCGTAGCACGGAGTTTGGAATTGTGCCCGGTATATGGCAATAGGCTCACCCCCTATTACATGGGACTCATAACATAAATAGTGAAAAGTGGGTGTTACATTGTACAGTGGCATTGAGTGCCGTAATGTGCACCTCTGCCTACCCCTTCGGGGTTAAAAGACGTGATGTTATGTTATGTGTTCATTTACTTGTCTGTCAAATGCTGAAAAAGATCTCAGTTAAAATTAGTTTTATTGGGATTTATAATTACCTGCAATCACAACAAGTTGTCCTCTGTGGTAGTAGATTTTGTTCTATCATCGCTAGACTCTGAAAAAATAACATATATGTAGCAACACAATAAAACAAAAAAGAAAATGTAGACTGCGAGTGCTACTACCAGATTTCAAATATTTATTATTTATTATTCTTGTCGATTACGAAGTCTGAAATTGAGTAAGACAACTAGACCGACTTTCTAATACTACCCGATTATTCACATGACTGACGAACTGTTATAGTGTTGGGGTAGTTCGAAATAAAAAGATCTACTTGCAAATAATTAAGTTAAATAAAAGTAGAACAAAATCATTAATAACGTGTTTAACTGGTTACTTATAATATCTTTGGCAATGTCACTGAATGAGAGAGTCACTAGATGAGGAAACGACTGGTTCGATCGGATTATGAATTAGTACTGTCCGTTGTCTCACGGGATGACAGGCAATGCCCTGGGTGGTCATACATACACGAATGCTTAAAGTGCATACAATATGTGTTAAGTGTGGGAGAGCCATGCTTCGGCACGAATGGACCGACTCGACCGGAGTGATACCACGGCCTCACATAAAACCAACGTGAAGCAACGCTTGCGTTGTGTTTCGTCGTGTGAGTGAGGTTACCGGAGGTCCAATTACCTTCTTCTTCCCCAATCTCCCCAATCCCTGAATCTCCAACGATCCTCAAACTCCTAATCCTCAAAAGGCCGGTAACGCACTTGTAACGCCTCTGGTGTTCCAGGTGTCTATGGGCGATGCCGATTGCTTACCATACCGGCTTATGCCATAAAAAAATGTATAACAGAACGAAGAACCAATACAATATCGAGGTCATACCTCGTACATAATGTTTTACTTACAGATATTCCAATATTCTTAGCAAGTGTGGAGTCAGTGATGTTAGCAAAGGGTTTGTCTGCTCCCCAACACTCCACGTACTTGGTCATCTTACTGGATGGACGGGATCGTGTGGGTACTCCAGGAGTCGCTGGAAATATGGTAGTAGTCTTTATTTTGATGATGGTATTAATGTGATAATTTCATTGTTGGTAATATTATTTTTAATGGAATACCTACATCATTTTCATGTTTGCCAAAAAGGTGTTCTAGCACTAGATAATCGCTAAAACAAAGTACAAAAACTCTGACAATCATGCAAATGAACATCAAACAAAAGATCTTACAAAAAAGAAAATGGTTTAAAAAAATGACAAGTAGAACTAAAATATAAAATGTCAATGTAACTAAAAATGTCAACAATCAGGATAACTTACTAAATAATAAAACTAAAACAATAATTTATTCTGAAGACACATAATTAAATACTGACTTGGAACTATTTAGTCTATGATTTAAGTTCGAACGGGACGCTCACATTGTTAGACACTGGGTCACAGATTTAGACTATAGACACTAACATAATGATTCAGTCGACATGGTACTTATCATCCTAAGGAATAGGGGCGTCAGTGTGTCTGTTGGTGTCGGTTGCTCACTGTGCTCACTAGAACTTTCTGTATAACATATTGGGATCATTATTTTATGACAGGTCGAGTGGTCGCAAGTACGAAGCAAAGGGGTCTCGAGTCCGATTCAAACTAGGGCAAAGTTTTAATGGGCTTTTAAAAAAATGTCAGTAATAGCACGAAGTCTGGAAATGTCCGATATATGGCAATAGGCTCACTCCCTAATACATGGGACTCATAACATAAATAGTGAAAAGTGGGTTTTACATTGTGCAGTGGCATTAAGTGCCGTAATGTGCACCTCTGCACCCTTCGGGGATAAAAGGCGTAATGATATACATATGTTACTTAATAGATATAAGTAGTCCCCCAACCACCGCAAGACTAGCAATTCACTTGTATCTCGAGTGGTGCGAGCAGTACCATTGCTTATTGTCGATTATATATTCTAGAAGTGTTCTTTATAGGTAATTGAACCATCATTATATACTATGAATATGCCTTGTGCAGAATTTCGCATAAGCTGAAAGTTCTTAAGATTAATTGTTTGCTCAGTAGTTGCTTAACAACCCGGTGTCAATAAATTAAACCACTATTGCACCTCCTCACCTGTTCCCATTATTGGGCTGATAGCTCCAATGATAGACCCACTCCTACTCTTGGGTTTCGGGGCAGTAACCACGGTTCCATTACCAAGTCCATCACCAGGACTTGTCGCTTGATTGCTGTCGAAGGCTACCACTTTTACTGATGCTCGTCTGCTAAGATCTGGAACATAAGAAATTGGGCTTGAAGAAAGGTGGCTAAAATGATATTTAATGATTATTTCACTATTTTTATTATACATGCAAGTGCATGAAAGTGAGATTATCGGAGGTACAGTCCCCCCTTCCCAAAAAACGCACTTGTAAATACACTGGTGGTATCCAAAGGCGATACTGATTGCTTACAATAAGGTGATCTATCTACTTAGTTGTTTCATAAAAAGATCCCATTCCTATGTATGGACTTGACAACCGAAGACTTTTATTAAGTAAAGATTAGATTTTTTAATGTATTAAGTAGTTATTTTTCTTGAATCTTTGAGGAACCTACCTCCGGTAGTTCTTAGTGACTCAGTCCTTAGCACTCTGTTGGGGAAGGTCTCCATTTCATTGAAACTGTTCTGCGAAGGAGCTGGACTGATATTGTCTCTTGGCTTCGTGGGAGATATGTCTTGGTATAAAGACGATACAATACTGGCTTTCCGATCCACCGTACAGACTGAGAGTCGACCATTTTCTGATACTTTCTGTAATTGAAAAGAATTTTGGGAGTTAAATAAATTTACTGAGAAAAATAATATCTTACTGTCGTACTCAGAGACATTTAATGATTACTTAAAAAAATAAATAAATAAAAAGCAACATACCGGCCGAACGTATAACCTTTTTTGAAGTCGGTTAACTATTCCTTAGTAATGATTTTGTTCCGAAAACAATTGCTAAGCTAAGTAAGTGACTCTGAGGACGGCGGTTAGTCCTTAAACTGCGAATTGTTATTATTTTCAATATTCATTTATAAGGCCTAAATAAATATACAGACCCAGTTTCGAGGCATTTAGACTTAATTATATCGGTCACATATTTCGTTTAACACTAAGAATTACAAAATCAAAACAGAACACCTATAACACATACATAAAATTCCCTATATTAAAGTGAGAAAATAAGCAAAGCAGAACCGTAGTCATACAGGACAGAAAATTTACTTTCCTTATGACTACAGAGAAAAACTTCAAGAAACCGAGAAAAATAATTTGTTGTCGTTATTGAAAAACTTAGTATTCTGGCGAAACCATTCAAGACCCCAACGTGTGACAAACCGAGGTAAGTTATAACTTGACAGCGGACAGGCTCTAACAAATTGTTATTGACATCGCAAACGACGGAGACTAAATACGAGGTTACTAGGAAAACATTTGTGTATTTTTAGGTTAAACGGTTTTTTTGGATTATTGAAGAAAATTTGTCTTGCCCTTGGATTTGGGTTTGATACTTCAATCGGACTATTTATTATTGTTGTTTTTTTAAGGGGGGAAAATCATCGAATGACTGCTCCCGCCTGGGTGAGGCGGGAGGGAGTGTCAGACTCTTACTGGCTATAAACCACCCCGTTCCTTCTCCTGCACGTCGAGCCGGAGCCCCGGTAACCGGTTAGGTTCTCCGCGACATTGTTGATGTTTAATGATTACTGGTAATTCGTGATCACGTTGTTTGGACGGATTCATTTTTTTAAAGCTATTTTTTTATATATCACAAAGGTAAGTATTTTATAATCTAAGCCTTACAAAACCGTTGCAATGGTTTGACTGTGGGGTCGAGTCGCTAGACATTACAATTTGGGCTCGCTGCCATTGCAGCGATAAGTCCCCTCTTTGAGGAGTGGCTTGAGAGACGCTACGGCGTCCTCACCTACCGCCTGACGCAGGTCCTCACCTGACATGGAAGTTTCGGGAGGTACCTGTGTCTGATGGGGCGGGAGGAAACGCCCGGGTGTCATCACTGCGAGGACCGCCCTGAGGACACGGTGGAACACACAGTGGGAGAATGCCCTGCGTGGGCTGAGCACCGCCGTGCCCTCAGGGAAGTGATCGGCGATGGCGACCTCTCGCGTCCGGGCCTAGTGCAGGCCATGATGCGGAGCGAGGGGGATTGGGATGCCGTCTCCTCCTTTTGCGAAGCAGTCATGCTAGCTAAGGAGGTGGCGGGACGCGTGAGGCAGCGAAGCGCTGACTCCTCGCAATCCAGCCATCGCGAAGGACACACCGGGCGTCGGGGATCGCGAGACGATCTCCGGCCACCGTAAGCGCGGGCCTGCGGACGGCGAGCATGGGTGGCTCCCCGTCCGACCAGAAACAGACCCGAGCGTACGGCGCGTCGCGTTCCGCGCGCGCCTCAAAGAGCCATCAGACCACCACAGATGGGGCCCAATAGGGCCGATGCCGATTCGGAGTCGCGGAGAACCTAACGGGTAACCGGGGCTCCGGCTCGACGTGCAGGAGAAGGAACGGGGTGGTTTTTAGTCAGTAAGAGTCTGACACTTCCTCCCGCCTCACCCAGGCGGGATCAGACATTCGATGGTTTTCCACCCTTAAAAAAAAAAGACATTACAATTAAATGTACTTATATTTAAATGTTATACATGCGTTGAAATGTTTCTAATGAAAACCTAGCATTATACCCGGTGTATCCTCCTGGACGGTAGTGGTACTCCCGGTGGACTCCTGTTGTAGGATGTAAAAAGATTGACGGATGGATTGGATGTAATAAGATATAAGTTTGTACTTAGTACACAATTTCGAATTGACTAAATAATTATTTCATGAACGTTTGAAACAACCGACATCAGCCCCCTCCTTTTTTGAAATCGGTTAATTAATATACTTACAATTTCAAAGTGTAAACAGACACTTTTCTAAAAACTGCATCATAATCGGTTCATACAACCGCGAAATAATCACGCACAAATATCCATCCATACATACATACAATAGGTCAAACTGAGAACCTCCTTTGTTTAAAGTCAGTTAAAAACACCTAAAAACGTCCGTTGCACTTCTTACCGACTTCATTAGTTAAATATAATCTAAGATCCCAGCCCCATATAAGATTCAACAAACCGGCACTTAAAAACTAAAATCCTCTTTAAAGACAGACAAACTGTAGAAGCAATCCAATATAGTCACTACACAAATACAACTGAGATTACGAACTGCAATCAAACGTAATCCTTCAACCCCAGTTGTGATCTTATCTCAAGTAGAAATCCTTATTTGCTACCAACTTTCCGATTTAACACAAAGATGGTGGACGCTTCTAGGTTTTATTTAAATTGTTGGGTAGAATTTCGCTGTTAATTTGCATCAGACGTCAATGATTTGCCCTAATTATTACACTTTTTCTGTTTTCCGTACTTTCTTTTAGTCTTCTATTATACTTTATTGGACCATATGAAGTTAAATCTCAACAATGGCCCAACAATTTTTTTATGGTATATGCCGAGCGTAAACGAGCAGACGGATCACCTGATGGTAAGCAATCGGCGTCGCCTGAAGAAAACACTAGAGGTGTTACAAGTTCGTTACCGGCCTTTTGGGGATTAGGAATTTGAGGGTTATTGGGGATTCGGGGAGTGGGGAGATTGGGGAGGGGAGTAATTGGGCCTCCGGTAACCTCAGTCACACGACAAAATACAACGCAAGTATTGTTTCACTTCAGTTTTCTGTGAGGACGTGGTATCACTCCGGTCGAGTCGGCCTAATCGTACCGAAGCATGGCTCTCCCACAGTAACACAGCGAGTATGTTAGAAGGTTGCCAAAGTAAAAAAAAAACAATCATAATAACTTTTAAATACAGGACATAATGGGTATCAAAGTTTTATTATATGTTATTATTGTTTTAGATTTTTGTACGAATACATCGTTCAAATCTAGTTACTTTATATCTTAATTAATCTTGGTTTACAAGCTGTTTTAATACTGTTCAAAGCCAATGGCATCCCGCACACTGCCACACAAGAAAATATAATCCGTCTACATACTTTCAAAATACCTAGCATCAATTTCAAGCTCAAAGACACGCTTCAACATAGACTTATATCTTAAACTGTAAGAACTAGTGTCCAGTAATTAACTTTACAACTGTTACTGACGAACTGACTAACTCAGTAGGGACTGCTACAGAGAAACTTCATAGTAATTGTTGATAATAAAACAATTTAAAGTTTCAGTGACTTCGTTACGTGATCTTCAGTTGATTAAAAGAAACTACGTCGTGAAGTTTTTCTTTGTAAAGTTTTATTGCTACATATAAAATAATTATTATCTTTAATTTAAAACGAAATATTGTATAAATTATTATGTTTTTCGGCTTACTCACGTAATTATTTGACGAGGAACTCGACTAATTTCAAGCCATGTTAGAGACTCATATTTATGAGGAGCATTTTGCGACCCGCGACACGGTGACTGTCACGCTGCTACTGGAGATCCTGCTGCTGGGAGGAGCTGCCGCTAGTCGAGTTCCTCGTCAAATTATTACGTGAGTAAGCCGAAAATATAATAATTTATTTAGTATGTCTCACGAAAGTTACAATACAAATAATAATATACGAAATATTGTTCTAAAATATAGACAATGGTATAGTTAGAGTATACCTTCTTTATATGATTATCTAGACACCACTGACAAACGGTGAAGGAAAATGTCGTGCGGAAACCTGGGCTTATAATTTTTCATTATAAGTTTGTAATCGCCAACCCGCATTGAACAAGCGTGGTGATTAATGCCTTACCATGTGAGAAGTAATGACCATCTTTGTATAACTTTAAGATTGAAAATAAATGCCAACAAAGCCCTATTAATAGGAAAGTGTTGTACCTATGCACGGTTTTACCTGTGGACACCACTAATATCTTAAAAAATAAACACATAAATTAAACGAATTGAACGCATCCGTAAAGTATTTTTGATACGTGGCAACACTGACTTGCTGCCATCTTGCGTTTTTTGTTGAGTAACCGGTGACAGACTGTTAAAGGTTTTCGCGCAAAAAAGTAAGTATTTATCACTTTGTCGTCCTATATTTTTGTCAATAGATGCAGAATATAGATAGCTAATTTCGGTCAGACTGTAGTGTATATCGTTAAACATCTATTTTAAGCGGTATAATAATGTCAACTCGTAGCTATCATGACGGTAACATATTTTAAGGTTATACTGCCAGATTTGTACCTGTGGACATCGAAATGCATGTACCTATGGACTGTCCACAGGTACAAAATTTAGTTCAAATTTTTAGTTTGAATAGAATATTACGATTTAGAAGTATTTTTTATTACTTTTTTCAGTGCCTCGTAGTAAGGATGGAAAAACGCGACGTAAGTTGTGTCCAGAGACATTATCTGAGGCAATCAAAGAGGCTAGAAGTGGATGTTCTTTGCGAAAAGTTGGAGAAAAATATAATATACCAAAGTCTACCATATTTAAATACCTTCATATGAACAAGGACAACAATCTGAGCGAGACCAATGTAGCTATTTTGAGAAATGACGTGAAAAAAGTATTTGATGAAGAAGAAGAGAAACAAATTGAAAAATATTTAGAAAAAGCAGCTTACCTACATATGGGCTTAAATGCTAAGCAAGTCAGAGAGCTGGCATACCAATTTGCAGTCATGAAGCAAAAACAAAACATCCCAAGTGGCTGGCACGAAAACAATATGGCTGGGTTGGGATGGCTTAGATATTA